GCTAACATCAGGCAAAGTCGTGCCCGCACTTCAAAGTCTCACTCTCTGCCAGTTACTTCCTCTAAGGTAGAGAGCTGTGCCGAAACTGTGGATTTAACTGATTGTGATGACTGTGAAGAGCAGCAGCAACATGGTAGTAAAGGAACTCAAAAGGAATCATTTATTGCTCTAGAGGATACCATGTCAGCCTTCATAGAAAGTTTCTTTTATAAGTCCTTGTCCAACTCTGTAAACTATTAAGAGACCTCGGATAATTTGGACGGCTTTATAAATTGAATTCGTAAGATCTTCTATTTCGATATTCTCGTGTTCCTCTTTATAGGCCTTATTCCCAAGGTAATCCAGGTACCCAGGTACCCAAGGAATACAGTACTCCGGCACATAATGCTACCACGCGTGTTGCGTGGGTGTTTTCTTGGAGGATAAAAATACGCGTTAAGCCGCTAGCAGCCTCTTCCAGGCGTTCAGTTAGGTGGGGTGCGGCGCAAAAGAAACAGCGCTTCTCCCCTAGTTCTTTTGCTCGCCGATTTTCGCGCTGCGTGCAACAACAACAACAGCAACAACAATACTTTATTTAACCACGCGACACCTAGGAGCGCAATCGCTCGTTAAAACGTGTGCGTGAACTCAAAATTGTATAAAAGAAGAAAAGGAAGAAATAGGATTATGTAATCTATGTAAATATGTAATCCAGCTAACTGGACGTCTGTAAGAGGCTAAGCCGCTATGTTAGTCCACGAGTGAAAAATCTTCGTGATGGGATCTTGAGTGAAAACCCACCTGGGATTTTGAAACCGTCGGCGGGAGTGATTTAAAAATAAAGCGAGAGGGATTACCTTGGGGATAAGCTAGACCTCTATACGATCATATATTAGGCACGCAACGCTTTCGAGTGGTATACCCTGGAATATCCCACTACTCACTTTAATTTTCTCAGAGAAAATAAAAGTGAAAAAAGTGGGATATTCCACGGGTATCTCATGAGAGAGTGTTGCGTAACTATTTTATACCATGCCATAGAAAATACAGTGGCCAACACAATCAATGCGACATCCATGCGGCGCATGATTGACCGTCGAATATACAACAGCTTTTATGCATTCTGATTGGCTGTATTTTCTATGGCATGGCATAAATATAAGTTGGGAATACCTCTTTTACCCTTTGTCCTCTCTTATTATTCAGCATTCTCATACATACTCGAAGATGATATATCATGTTTTCATCACTGATTATCGAGTAATAACTACTCAAATTTGTATTTCAGCTCAGCTGATAAGATATACTGGGGTAATGTACCAAGGAACAATTAAAGACAACTGAACAATATATAAAATATTTCATTATATGGTTCTGTGTCACAAGGACTGGGACCTACCGAATTCACGAATTTGATTGGCTGAAATCGATATTGAAAGCAGTCTAGATTTTCCCATCTAGACCGACATCTAGACCGGTAATGTTTTGCCGTAAAAAAGTTGCAGACTAAAATGCAAAGTCATCGACTGTTTTCATCTAACAATAGTTATTTATGGAAGTGCAAAAAAGCCTGATGAGAAAAAAAAAAAGGTTAAGAGGACGAGCAAACTTTAGCAGAATTAAATTCAGCTCATCGCTGTTTGGAAGCAAAATGACATTTAGTACAAACCAGTTACATTAAACGAACTAAATTATTCTTCTTTGCGCCATATAATAAACATCTTATTAACCGAGCTTAGTCGGTCTGCGTGAGGTCTGTACACACGACCGTGGTCAAGATTCTCCCATACAGACCTCCTGCTCGGTTAATAAGAGCTAAATATTAAATAACAACCCGATATAACGACCTTAATAGTTCTAATGACTAATGACTATAGTTCACTAGGCATATCCCAAAGCACCTTGCTGTAGATAAAATTTGGGAAATACTAAAATGTATTTTGAGATAAATAATCTACTCTTGAAGAAGGAATAAAAGGACACTATATATATATCCTATTATTGTGTAATCTATGGTAGGTAATAGTTTCAGGACTCTTATTGATAGCAGAATTGCTTTGTAAGCTCCCTGAAGGGATTACCCCTACCTCAAGATTTTCTACTTTTAAATAAAGGTGACTATCTATCTTTAACCTTAGATCAGTCGACAGTAGCACCAGATGATCCTATGGTGACCCACTTCCCATTTCTCTTTTCTTACAACTACCACCCCTCCCCCACGCCCCCTTTTGCCACCTCTGCCTGAGTTACCCTGCCGCGTTTATCCGGATGCCAGGAAGACATATCAGACATGCTACAACTGTCTGTTATTATTTGGAATAGGCAAATGTGATAATTAACCCAGCTGTGTCAGCAACGATGTGTCAAAGGTTACGCTTCGGGGGCTAAAAGACCTGAAGATAAATACTGGAACTGTCAAGAATATTCCATAATATACTTCTGTCAACCCTTCCCTCCCTCCCCTCCTTCATGCAGACACCTCACGCACATGACTGAAAAAATTGCTTGACGGAAGCAATCGCAGTATAATAATCGTTGAGTATCGGTACTCCTCAAGCGGAATGCTAGTCCGCTATCGTAGGTTAATTCCAACATATTGTTGGGTTAAGATGATTCCACTTAAAAAGGAGTATTAAAAAAATTCTCAGACTTCACCCAGTTGGTAATCATGTCATGTTTATCAGAAAAATACAATAAAAAATAGGGGTCACCGTGCTCGTTTTTGCACAACGCGTATGGCCTTTGTAGCAACTTTGCGACCGACGAGGTTGTCATCACTTAATAGTTAGGAGAAAGGGGCACTAGAAATTCTAAGATAAGCTCTCATTGGATTAATTTATTAAAGAAGTTAAACAAAATAGACCCGAACTTACATTTTAAAGCATGTTAGTCAAACGGGAGTTACGATTATACTACAAACTTTTGAATTCTCTTCGTGCGCACATACCCAGCACTACCTAAAGACGTGCTCTTTACAGCATTAAAATCAAAATATTTTTAAAGGAATTTTAAACTTTTCTTCAAATTGAGATATATTGCAAATAACCTTGTGTAATTTAAATTCTTACATTTATTTATTTCGCTGTCGAGCATAGCTTGAGAAATCTCTTACGTTTTGTATGCACACGCGCACATGTGCGCGCGCTAGTTGGTGATGCGAAGAACGAGTCTTACCCAAGAGTGCGGTAGAACCCCCAGTCTCCCTCCACCCCTGATCCCGACCAAAACCATCAGGCCATCGCATCTGTCACTACAATAAGAGTCAACTTAAGTAAACATTCCTGGTATTATTTGTCAACCTAATCTTGTTTATTAGCACATCATCAACAGCTTCTAGACTTCTTTTCATGTTCTTTTTCAAGTTCATTCTTATATATATAAACAATAGCCTCCATTTGGCGCGAAAACATGCTGGATATTTGTCCGCGGACATTGTCTGTTCCGAGAAGCGAACAGTTTTCCGAGAGCTTGGCTCGAGGAAAATGAGAGCTTCGAGAAACAGATAATGTCCAAGGAAAAATATCCGAGCATATTTTCGCGCCAAGTGGAGGCTATTGTGTTTATTATACTTCAAATATTTTTCGCAACACGCGCGGTTTTGAAATCGGGGAATATCCTCGGATATTCCGCAGTTTTAGCTGGGAAATATTCGGTCACGTGTCGTGTTTAGACCAATCGCGCGCGATCGAAAAAATTTGATGGATTATAATGCCCGGTAAAAGAAATCATAAAATTGTACAGCCCAGTATATAACTCGTTCCTTTGAACTAATGCTCGTGGTTTGGCACAAGCTACACCTGAAAGTCAGGAAATTATCGAAACAACTAAAACTTCGGGTTCGCAATAGGCTAAAATTCAGCTTGATAGCGAAGTTTTAGAGGCACAAACAAGAGAAATGAATAAACATGCTCATTCACAGTTCCTTTGTTTGAGTCCTCTAGGTCTCGCTGCCAAGCTGAATATATAAAATATAGTTTCAGTATTTATATGCACTTTTTTGTTTACGGTGGCTTAATGTTATCATGCGATACTACGATTATCAGTTGGGTAAGGCAGGAGGGAAGTTTGATTACGAAGTTTTGGGCTTAAAATTATGGTGTTGTCACGGGCAACTTACCTCGTTTCCGTTGGTAACAATATCAACAGCCGTTCGTCGCCTGTCGCGTCGCCCGCAATTTCGCGCGCTTTGCTGTCGATAACGTCAAAGGCTGACAAGATACGGGGCCAGTTGCTCGTGACAACAACACGCTTTTTACGTTAAAACTTGGTGACCAAACTTTTGTCCGGCCTTACTCAACTGATAATCGTAGTATGCTACAGAGGATAGTTTTTTTTTTTTTCACGTCTCATTGGGGAGAAATATAAAATTCAAACTATGACCGATAGCGTAAAATGTACATAACTACATCTAAATTAATTTTTGTGCGTATCGTGCATTTTTTTTCAACAGCGAGGATTTTGTACAAATTTTCGTACATGATCTACCTAGCAGAGCATGGTGCAAGATTTCCATGTAAATACCGTAATTTCCCCAATAATCGACCCATGTGATGACTAAATAAAAAGAGGGCCGGGTGATCCCTCAAGTTTGGAGGCGATTATATCCAAGTTTCCTTCAGGGTTTGTCTAACATCTGTCAAAAAGCTGGTACATAAAAAAGTTCCTGGGTATTAACTAACAAGTATAGAGTATTTTGTAGACGAGGAACAGCGCAAAGGCGGAGACATCAATACCTTAATTGTTGCATCTAGACTTGGGCCTCAAAAGCAACAGCAAATTTTGTTCACACATAACGACTTTTGTAAAAAGGATACATAAAGATTCTGACATTTGGGTGAGGGAATGAGCAACTATTTAAAACAATTGACTCAAAAAAGGCAATTATTCGAAAAATACGGTCATAAAATTGTGCAATCCTCTAAATTTAGTCCTGTAAAGTTTTCGATCTTATTCTTACTTTCCTGATTCTGGCAGCATTAGATAATCTGAGAAAGGAAACGGCTCCTCCATGAATTCTGACAGGGTGTCCTCCAGAACAATGAATGGTTCCTTTTCAACAATCTCGTGACTTTCTTGCTGCAGCCGAAAGTTATCTCTCTCCCAGTTCCCTGAGCTGGTTAAATCCACACTTTTGGTACAACTGCCTTTCCTGGTCGAAAAGGCCAAAGACGGTAGAGACGTTAAGGACCGACTCGGTCCAATGTTCGCCGGTTTCAAGCTTCTTTCAGCGTCACTGGCAGACTTGTTTAGCCTATTCCTCCTGGAACGCGTTGATTGACGTTGGACGGCGTTTTCCATCTCTGTTAAGGCGTTGTTAAGGAGACGAACAAAGACAAAATTTAAATGATCAGATCTTGGTTCTGAAAGTAATTCACACAGCCTTCTCACTGCTGTGACCAAACCACGGGTCGGAGTTTGAAGACCGTTTACAATGCCAAAGTTAAAACTCTGAAATGACTTGCAAGGATCGGAGCTCGAGATATGATCAATGGGCAGCTGATTAAGGTCATCAAAGCTGTAAGAATGGGGCGGATCGTCTATTAGATGGGTTGATGGCGTTGTCAAGGGCGCGTTCATTGGCAGACATGACCCGCAAAGTTCCATTTCATTAAGGACTTCAAAGACTTCATCTAAACTTGGTGTATCATCTAAAGATGGGAATGAGATGTTTGAATCGAGGCTTTCTGAAGACATCTTTCTTCCATCTCCGACTAACCCGCATTCCAAGAGTGGAAAAATGATTGGTGACCATGGTTCATCATAAGGCTCGTTCTCTGAATCCATATCTGAAATCACTCCATTGTCCAGTGCAAACTGCTTGATTATGGGGTTTGAGGGAGTGGTACCGTTTTTGCCGGCTTCAAGCCTGTTTTCTAAATGAAACGTTTGGCTTTCCTGAGGGTTGTCATCCGCAAAACTAAAGGGGGCCTCTAAAGTCGACACTTTTTCGGTATCAACCTGACTGCCACAATAAGGGAGATCAGTCTGGGCACCATCATTCCAAGTAGTGTTGGAATTCAGCATCACTCTGTTTTGGTTTTGGTAAGATTGTGGTCCTGATCTCTTTGAGCCCCTTGTTCCTAATTTAAAAAGAAAGAGTATTGTAATAATAATAATAATAATAATAATAAGTGTTAATATTATTGTTAACTGTATCTATCAAAATCTTCAGAAGGATACAGCCATACATTTGGCGAATCTTCGTATAAGGGTGCCTTCCTTTGGGGTGATTCGGATCAGGATCAATGACCCAAGATCTTTCAGATCATGGTGCATCAAAGGAAAAGATGAATCCTTGCATGCCCATCAATGGAATTGTTGCATCCACTCATGCATGAGTGGATGCAACAATTCCATTGATGTACCATGATCTGAAAGATTGATCCATTGATCCTGATTCGAATTGACTCAACTGAATTGACTCAGCCCCTGAGGCGGCTGGGTCAAGCGTTCAGTGTTCTATGTATAGATCTATGCGACAGCTATAGATTCTGCTAACTGCTTTAATTCCAATAAATTCTAAGAGGACGTATTCTTTGAAAGAACAGTTATAATTTCAGTGAATTGTAAGTCACGCCATCAGGCAGAGCATAAATTGATTCTATCCTCCCGTTGGTCAGTAGTCAATTACAAACGTAGTCAATTGCAGACAAATGTGAGACAAATTTAAACTCTGTACCCTGCTTTCCAACACAGCTGTGAACAGTATAAATATTCGGCGAGATGAAGGAGAAATGGACATAATAAATGACTCACGCAAGCGTGTTCTTGACACTTCCTTCCCTCCTTCCTTCCTGGAGAACTCATTAGCTCAAGTTATCTGCACGAACGCCTTTTCGCCGTCCAATATTAAAGGACGTCTAACTTCTTCTTTACAAATTTGAGAGCTTTGTCTACGGAAATACGTTCGTGTCTAAAAAGGATGAATGATTTTTCTAATTTACATGTGTCACTGATGCAATTATACTAGTGAAGGGATAAAATCTAGCTGACTGTTGCGTTTATAAAATCATCGCATAGCTCCATTTTCCACAATAAATTAAACTCTGTGCCTATACACATTTACATGTTTTATTTGCTAATTTGCGTTTCCACACGACTGTGTATAATTCTGCTCGTTGAATATTCCGCAATCCTGGGCCTGTGAGCATACCTGTGGACACTCAAGCTGCCTAGATCGAGGTGCTTGTGAGGAGAAGTGGAAGATCTAGACTATATCTAGTCACGAGATCACTCCATATTTTTCCACTGCGGGCAGCAGTCTACCGAGCAGCCAGTTATTTTTAGAAGGATTATATCCGTTTAAAGAGCTTGTAGAACTCGGAAGGAAATTGGAAATGATAAGCTGATCTCTGATTCATCGACGGACGGTTGCATGAATTCTCTTAGTACTTGCTTCCATGAGCAGCTTACGGCCTACTCGGTTCATGATCTTCGACGGATCGATCAGTCTTTGGTCGAACAAGCGGCATGACAGCAAATGTTCTTCTTCATTTAAACAGAGAGATTGTGGTGAGTTCAATGATTTTGTCTTAAAGCCTAAGGCCTATCGTTTATGTCTCAGAGAAGCAATTGATAGTTAAAGATTAGGGTTTTAGAATTGATTTGTCTGTGTCCAAAAGTACACTTCTCTCTAACTGTATTTCTACTTGTGATTAATGCTTGTTGTTCCACGGTTGTCACCGATCAAAAGAATTGCTTTTCAAATAGTTCCTAAATTCGCTTACCCCGTCATTCAGAACAACTCCGAGTAAGTATTGCATGAAAAACAGCGACGGGTGAAATAACGAACCACACTCCTGTCAGTGATTAGAAACGTGATTTCCTTTGGAAAAGTTTCAATGGAGCAAAACCTTTAGTAAGAATTTATGAATAATACACTTTCTACTCAGCATTATTTAGCATTACAGTCAGTTGCCTTCGAAGCTCAATTTGCTTTCTGGCATGAGTCGTATTCGATTCATCTGTATTTAGGTGATACTCCTAGCTGAGTTTATTTTACTTTGGTTCTTTGATCAGCTATCAAGTAAGCGTTGTGATGTAGCTTGAATTTGACTCATTGACATTGGCATTGAAGTGTTATTCATCTGACTTTCTTCCCGTTGTTGATAATTTGCCCAAGATTTCACAAAGTATGTCTATAACAGTGCGACGCAACGTTTCCTAGGTAAGGTTCACTCCCATTTCAAACAGATTTCCGATTACATAGAAGGGACTGCAGCAGCTGTATTTTCGAATGACGAGTAAGTTTCTTCCCCTTTGCGACAATCTTAATCAACCCAACCCAATTCAGTGTTAGTCAGTTTCCGATATAAAAGATTAATTTCTCAAGCTTTTTGATAGTCTAGGTCTTGCACTATAAAATTATATTCCTGTATATTCGAGATCCTACAAGGGTTCCTTGAATCTCTCGACGTTTGTCATTGAATCGCGTATTACCTGATTTGTCATAGTTACAATCTGCCAGAAAGATAACTACGTATGGATGTTAGCGTAAAAATCTAAATTCTGAGTTCAGGCCAGTCCTTTGAACCCTTGCAATGATCTAATACAAAACTGTTATGCGAGTTAAACTGCAGTTAAACGCAAATTTTGTTATTCAAGGCTGTTTTATTCTCGGAAATCCTGTTTATGAATACCAAACAAATCCTTTAACAACTTGAAGATAAATATGCGATAAATATGTTCTCGCCAATAAAATTCATTTCTGCTGATAAGAATTATACTGTTTCAAAGATATTGTACTCTACCGGGGTTCTGAAAGGCTCTTTAGTTCTGATCTATTTTCTGCCAGACGATATGGCGAGTTCTCCTTGGCAAGTCGACAAGCATCACTTGATTTAACTGCACAAAATCTGACTCAACTGACACTTTTAATGATACTTTCAAAGATTCACGAGGGATTTACACCGAATATAAATCATTACTGTAACAATTATCTAACGGACTGAAAAAGAGACTATCTAGACTCGAAACCGCATAACTCAAACAACGCAAAGGTACAGTCATTTTGAAATGCATGTAAGTGAAAAATGTTATTTACTCGGTTGGCCAAATTTCTGTTGTGTTAAGTAACTTTGATTAGGCGGTGTTCAGAAATTCCTGTTACCCTCAGTCAATGAAGTTTCAGCTTTACTCAAACTGAAATATTTCATTTTCTTTCTAGTGCGTTATAGCTTCATGTGTCTGGTTAATACTACGGAAATGAAAGAACTTTGTAAAATGACGAATTGTGGAATTAAGCATTGGAAGCAGGTTTGGCCTCAAGATGAGAAAGATGAGAGCACTCGCCTTCCTCTAATCTGGCCTGGGTTGAAACCTTAGACCCAACGTCAAATATGGCCGGATTGATTTATCGTTGATACTCGTCCTTACTCCGAGGTTTTTTCTCCGGGCGGTCCTGTTTTCTCCTCTCTCTTAACAAAAGCCTACACTTCCAGATCCAATCAGTCGATTTTAATTGCCTCCGTTTAGTAAGCCTTATGGGCATCATGCTAGACGCTTGCACATTTTCAAATGTAGCTGCTTTACAGCATGTTCTAAGCTCTAATTTTGTTTCAAACCCTGATCTTCAAGCTTCTTTGTTCAGGTAATAATGATTAATACTGTGACTGGAACAAATTAACTTGTACCATGCACACTTGTAAACAATTTTGCAACAGCGAAGATGGTACAAGGCTGCATCCGACTGAATTTATGTAAACTGAAAACAGATAATATTCCTACCAACCTGATGTCAGGTGATCAAGCCTTCAAAAATGATGACAGTGAGAAGTACTGAAACTGTTTACTAGATCTCTCCGATTTGGGGTTTAAGTACCTGGCTTATCAGTAGAAAGTAATTCACTAGAATATCAATAGCTAGGGACTGTGACTCTATTAAGTACTCAAGATGTCCATACTTAATGTGGACCAATGGGCAGTCCACAAACCTCGTGTAATTTCACTTTATTTTAAACATAATGTTTTTGTCATATTTGCAGCAAGTTGTAATTTCCGCGTTTACTGTCAACCATTTCCGGCCTGAAACATTGGAATGACGCACATCCGTAAGTTAAATGTTCACCGTGTAAACCTCAGCGCGAGTGTATTGTTTCTTATTTCCGAGTTTTAAAACACAAAAATATCATGCTTTTGCTGTCTCAGAATAGAATGATTTATTTTCTTGAGATGATACTTAATGACATCTTGCAAAGTAAAACCAAAGAGCTACACGCTCAATGGTCATTCGGCACGAAGATAACGGTTTTGCCTCGCGCACCAACTGTTTTCAATAAAATTCTAAATTCTGAGGTGCTATTCTCTTTTTCACTCGTTTGAAAAGAGAAATACGCAACATCTGTTTTGCATATATGAAACAACAAAGCGCATTAAAAACGATGATATTTTTATTAAAGCAGAAAAAATTCAAAAGCATGACATCTCGTTGTCAATCTTAAGTGAAAATATATTGTGTGAGAAAAAAGAAAATAATATATATGAAACATAAGAGGTTTTGACAGTAAACTCTCGTTAAATCGACACTTCGGGAACAACTTTCAATTTGGTTTTCCTCATCTGTTCGAGTTCGTAAACGCAGGGTACAGATTTATCAGCTACTTTCGCCGAGACCGCAGTAAACTTTCATTTATTCCGGGTGATAACGGAATGCGAGTGATAGAGAGATATCCGTAATGTGTCGAGAGTTAACATTTCTGGAAGAATTAAGCCGGATCTAGTCAGCCGAACAGGTGTAAGTACGAATAGAAGTTTCTAGAGGTGTTTCTTTTTAAGAGCACAACTCGTTCGTCACTGCATACTATTATACATGTCAGTCAATCTAAAAAGGCCCTAAGGGTTTGCTAGCAGTTACGGCTGGTCGAGGGTGAACGCATGGCTCGCCGCGAAGGTAACTGCGGTTAAGCGTTATGTCAACAGCAAACGTTCCCGCTGATGTCAAGCTTAACGCAAGTAAAACTCTATTTTACGCGCACATAAGAAGCATCCCGCTTTGGACCCCTCGCTTTGGTAGCTAAGTTTACTTGTCAAAGGGTATCATCGCTGCTATAAGAAAATGCGGACGCAAAGTTAATTTACATTATCTTAATATTTTCAACACTGCACAACTGCCGACTCACGCTGTCGCTTTTTTTTCCTCAGAGTGTTTATGCGCCCACTCACATCCGTCCATCGTCAATCAAAGCCTGTCAAATAGGACCACTGACTCAATTTCTTATTTTCTATCAAGCCCACTTGACTTGACAATCGGAAGTATTATGAGTGCACTTCAAGTGTCTGTCTAGTTTAAGTGGCCAATCAGTGGGACAAAATCAAACTTCGAACAATGATCAGTGTTTCATCGGTGTTTGTTTGTTTTCTTTTTTGTTTTTATTGGAGATTTGTTCAGTAAAATCAACAAACAAACGGAATGGAATCAAGATGAACATGAACTCGTAGCTGGCTTAAAATAATGTACAGGAGTACACAAACGCCTCATTACTGATTTAAAGCGTACAGTCGAAGCTCTCCTTGCGACCACTCTCGTAAGCGACCAGCCCTAGTTACGACCACCGTTGTGAAAGCCCGTTTGAACTGTGACTTAAACTTAGTAATGAAACGCTCTCGTAAACGACCGCCCCGGTAATAGATCGCGACCACTTTTGGAATTACCCAACTGAACTTTTCCTGAGCTCTTGTAAGCGATCACTCAGAGTCTTTTACTGATCTAAATCAACACTTTAATGAAACTTCACACTGCGCTAATGGTTCTTGACCAGTTAAAAAATTGAGCGTAAAGTTTAGCCGTGTCTATATGAGATATAAAGACATCATTAAACGTTGATTTCTTTTTTATGAATCATTAATAATGAGTTTCTGTGCCTCTCGTAAGCGACCACCCTTTATTGTTTTACCATTCGGTCGCTGACGAGAGTCACATTCTTGTAAGCGACTAGCTCTTGTTACGACCACTTGTTCGAATTTCCGAGGTGGTCACTTACGAGAGCTTCGACTGTACTTGCAAATCTTGAAATGTTGGGTTCCTCCTCCCCTTCCCTGTCTTCGTATGACAGTTGCGCGCGTTTGTGACGCCACATACATTCCTTGCATACGATGGCTGCGTCCGCAGTACGAGCGGCAATCAAAAGTTAGGTGTCCTAACGAAACGACACGATAATAGTTCTTCGCAGCTAACAAGAATATAGAGAGCGTTGCTTTGGCCTCTTCGAATACTTATCTCGAGAATTCTGCGTTTAATTAAGAAACGTGTTTAGTTCAAAATAACACGACCATAATCGTACCTGGCGACATTCGTCGGCGACGAGCGCTAGCGAGTTTCCAGACGCGAGCGACCCATTTTTGGTACCAATTTAAAGCTTGGAGACACAAAATGTTTCATATTTTCACTTTACAATCTGATATGGGTTTTGGAGTAATAAATCCCTATTCTTGAATTTTCCATGCCTTCTAAGGTGAGAAAAGTTACCTGACTTCAATGCCTTTCCTGTTAACATGCATTCCACGTCAGGAAAGTACAGGTTTTCCCGCCTGCATGCTGAATCCTGATTGGTCAATTCAAATTTCAGCCGAACCGACCGCATGCAAGGTTAGGTGTTCCTTTTATTACGAGTATTGCGCTAAGTTATTGCCCCCTTACACCTTAAGAGCTCACCTAATTGCAGGCTTCATCCAAGCAATTCTTCAACAAAATCTAACAAGATGAAATCCTGATCTAATTGGGATTCACTTCTTAGGTCTCCTCCGTAAACTTCTACAACAGGATTGGTGTTAAAAATTCCTTTATAAGGAGGCTGTAATGGGATGTGTTCTGCCCACTGATTGACCACGCCGGGAACATATTCAGAACTGCGTTCTTGAGAAAATGAAAATGGGTTGATTGATGTTGCTGATAGAGGCGGCGGCAGTGGTGGTGGCGACCACGGTGGCGATGACGTCGACGACGACGGCGATAATGATGATGGTGATGACGATGACAACGGTGGTGGTGGTGGTGCTGATGGTCGTACTGATGATGGTGCTGATGGTGGTGCTGATGATGGTGTGGCTGATGCCTGCAGTAATGTTTTCCATTGGTCGTCAGGTTTGGTTGCGTCCTGTTCTAAGTTATCCAACACCATCGGGCTGCTGTTCAGCATTAAGGACCTTGATCCAATGCTTCCTTCCAAGCGCTTTATTACTGCTGTCTCCATGCCTGCTAGAGCCTGCCTTAAAATCGGAATTAAGTGCACCTCTAACTCAGATGCGGTTACTAACTGAACAACCGTGTTGAGAGCTTGTAAAGCGTTACAGAGTACTTCCAAAGGCGGCTGGACGACTTTATTTCTTCCTTGCATTGCTATACTATCATTACCCACCTTGTTACTTAGCTGCAAGATGCCCAAATGTTTCTGTTCTTCAGGACGAAAATTAACCACTGTCTCGCCATGGGGTAGCACGGCACTGCATGAGCTGTATTCTCGAGTTGGTGGTTTTTCCCCCACGGCACGGTAAGTCGTTATTTGCTTACTGGACTGGGCCCCTTGCAAGCTCTTTTCCTGCCTATCGCTAGCTTTTACAACTTTAACAATGTTGACGTCTTCATTTTGGGAAAAAGCTCTGGTCAAGGTATGTTTAGGTTTCATCCCCGAATTCTTCACAAATTGATCGGATGGAGGGCCAACCAACGCATCTGTGAGGTTGCTTCTCAGCAGTCTGCAAATGTCGCAGCGCCCTGTTTTTTTTCTGCAAGTCTGTAAGTGATTCTTCCGTAATTTAATGTTGATGCATTCTGGAAGAAGACAGTTGGGATCGGAGCATCCAGGTGGATGAATGAGTCCAACCAAATCTCTTCCTTGCTGGCTGCTTATCATTGTTTCTTGGCTGTCTTGTTGTTCAGGCGTGTCGGACGTAAACATCTATAAATACCCAAAAAAAAAAGCGTACAAGAAAAATCAACGGTGTTCCGGACTTTTGCTAAAACTAGTGGTGGATCAGGGTCCAAACCCCGCTCCTTCACCTCCCGGTGACCGATGACTTGTAAAGAAAGGCAAAAGTTGCCGAAGAAAGTAGGAAGTTTACGTGCCCTATTTACAAGAAGACAAGGCTGAGCTTCGTCTGTAGAGTGCCTGAAGAGGATGTTACAGGGAAAGTAGAGTGGCCCGGACGTAACAATGGGTGAGTTAAAGTGAATGTCGTGACGAAAACGCCTCCCCTATGGAGAGGTGGACGTCGTTGGGAGGACGTATGTAATAGTATTTAAACATATAGATCGGTGGTCGCTACTAAATTAAATAAAAATCTCCTCCATAAATGGTAGAGGGACCCTTAAAAGGAAGAATTGAATAAGAGTTGGTGTACGCATGTTGCAGTCGAGACGGAAATAGAGAGGTGACCTAAACTATAATTAGCACGGGCACTGTCGTACGTTATCCATCCGATCCATTGGTTTAGGCGATCACAAAACAAAATAAATCAAACCCAAAGCATAATTCCAGCTACCTTTCATACTCGATTAAAAATTGCTGGAAACCATTAGCATAGTAATTCACACTCGACACGCTCAGCATTTCACAATCGACTTTGCACCATGCATGATTGCGTATCCAGTTGCAATGTTTACACTTTCCGGATGACTAACTAGCATAATCGTTTGATTCATAAACCTTACAAAAAAAATATACACACATATATCGCTACTCCGATGAGACAATTGATTTCCACAAGAGAGTCGTTCCGGGTCCGAAATCGTCTAATGAATTGTCACTGCCCCGGGAAGAACGGAACTTGAAATATAATACTGTTTTGGAGCGAATAATACAAAAATTGTACGGGAACTGAACTTCATAGTTGACCGGTATTCGGGATTACGGAGTTACCTCAACAAATGTCTTTAAAAAGCGCTATGAAACGAGAATATCCACGCTAATTCGCAGAATTTACGCGATAATTTTCGCCAAGGCACACTGGCCCAGCACTGAACACCGCTTGTTTAGCGGAGAGTTCAGGATTCTGTACTGCGGCAGAAAAGTTCTTAATACGAGAGATTGTAGAGTCATTCAGTTAAATAAATCGATGTATAAAAATTTTAAACTGAAAATCGTTCAGGAAGGCCTTATTCTTTTCATCTGAGTTATTTCCTTTACTGATTCAATGGCTGGTATGTTTCATAACAACACAGGTATAAGCCAAGGTCAAAAAGTTAAGGATTGATCATCAGAAAACTATAGCATGAAATAGCTTGCCACAAAATACTGTCGCAGAGGTAATAGCGTACGTTTGGATCAAAGTTGATCGATCCTAATCAAACACGAAGGGTTAATTGTTTAGTTTCTGTCCTTTCTTCCTACGTTTCGTTCCGTCGAGCCAGCGGACGCACGTTGATTCGCTTCATGTGTTTTCTTTATAGCCTGCTTTGCAAACGAAGATTTCCCCGTAAATAAACGTCTGCGAATTAGCACACAAATCCTGGCTTGTACAGTATATTAGCGTCTGCGACGCAGGATACCAGCCCGTTCAAAGATCTTGCACTACGTGACAATGCGAAGAACGGCTGAGAATGAGACTGTACGAGACTTCCTTCTCTCTATGTTTTTACAGCAATTTCCGAGTGGTTTAATAGGTCACGATACAAGAAAGAAGGACCTTGAGCTGATCAACTAGTGAAATCTAAGCGGTCCTGATTGCCAACCAAATTGTCCCAAAGGCAATTCTACAAAAATAATGTATGGTAATACTAAAAAGAACTATTGGCAGATTCAAAACGAGGTAAAGTGTCGTAGTGGCAGTACAACCGAGAATTACGTACAAACACGAGTTGTTTACATTACCTTCGAAAACGGCAAACGAGTTTTTCCACAGTCACTATCCAGAACTAAACAGTTAAGTGAATTTTGAAACCGTCACAAGTTACTCGGTCATATTTATATTCTAGCGGATTAGTTGCTAAAAATAGATTGTTATGTATCATGATAAAGCAACAGTCAAAGTCATAAAGTCAGACTATTAGCGGTAACAATAACCATTGGCAACAATTAAAACAAAAAACAACAAAGTAAACCCGATATTTAAGACTTAAGCGCCAAATACGTGTTAACACCGACGTAAGTCAAGCGCCTAAGAACTTTTTGCTCCCCATTGGCTGAGCAGATGGTGCCAGCATTTTAACCAATCGCAGAGTAGAGTAAAGTAAAACAAAATAACGCCGAATTCAGCCTATCATCCAATCAAAATTATTTTCAGTTTCTACTTTTGTTCAATTACAAGACAGGAAGTTGGGACGATGTATTATGATAAATTACGACTTCTTTTTCCGCTCTACGTAAGGGGCTTGGAATGCAAAGAAAGTTCTACACTACGTCAACTTAAACACCGGAACGGCCGATAACACTGATATACCATTATTGCCTTTTTGGCATTTTTCTTTCACGCAGCTAGAATAATAAAAAAAGTGCTGCAAATTTGAAATGGGTGACAAACCTAAACTTAAGTTACAATATCGGCGTGCCATGCCACAAGGACAGGACAGTTTCGCTACAGATATGCTAATGACGAAATGATAATCAAATATTGCGTCATTCTTAAGTGAGGCACTGTTGAAAAGCTAATTAATCCCAATGTGCAATAGGTTATCCTCGGTATCTTCCGTGTTTTCGGATTTTTTCGATCACGTGAGCAGTTCACTACGGTGCGACGATCGTATGACGAATATATAAGCCAAAGTGAAGCCTTGTCTCCTGTGATATATACCAAGCAATTGATCTAATACTGACTGGGGGTTTAGCCAGATTCGGGTACATTGCTAAAGTCTGCATACGAGCCAAGTGGCCCACCAGGCCGGAGCTTATCCCGGTTTCTGTAGCGTCAAGCGACTAGGAGTATTTCTACTTCCCCCTGGATGGGACGCTAGTCCATCGCAGGGTCACTCCCAGCATTAAATTCGCCGGTACCCATTTATACACCTGGGTGGAGAGAGGCACTGTGAGAGTAGTTGTCTTGCCCAAGAGCACAACATAATGTCCCCGGGCAGGGCTCGAACCCAGACCGCTTGATCCGGAAACGAGCGCACTAACCATGAGGCCATCACGCCTCCCAAACTCGGGTACATAACCGAATCGTAACTCTTTTGGTATGCTTCGGAGGCATTGCTGGTCGCGTCATGAGTTTATGTTGCCGCAATTCGATTGAACTCGTCTGACACGCGGCGAGGGGTGCCACAGAGGAAAAAGGGGCACGATCGCGAGATTTGCAGCATTATTGAAGTTTAACTTAATCGTGTATTTGTACCTATTGTGCCTCTTTAGTACCCCTCGGCGCATATCAGGTCAGTTCGATTGAACTGAGAAATATATATAGTTATGACCAGACCAAACGAGACTGAAATGCTACCGAAGCACAACAAACAGTGACAGTTGGAATTAGAGTACGAATTTTTTCGCAATGAATAACTTATACACACGCAGAACGAATACAACCCAAAGAGGTTTCTCTCAATGAAGCCGATTTGTTTTCTTTACAGAGATTAACTCAACTTCTCATGATCATTGCGGCAGTCAGACTTCTTAGACTGCATGACCGCGCGCAGTTTACCAGCACGCAAGTTGTTTGGAATGCCTTTCTTGATCTTGCAGTTCGTCGAGAGTCCTCTCACACTGACGAGCTTGAGGAGATGTACTGCGTGAACTGCAGAAGGTGTATAACGAAATTCAAACACTCCTAGAGCTTATCGTCTCCTGTTGCAATCTAGAGAACGTTTTAAGAGCCTCTTTCGGGCGTTCAGTTAGTTGCGGAACAGCGCGAAAACAACGAGCATAACAGGAGGAGAAGGGCCGCGCGGAAAAGCGAGAGAACCCTCTGTAGGATTCCACGTGCGAATTTTTATTTTAGCTTGCCATTTACGTATGCAAATTAGGACTATTTAAAACGCTACGGTTTCCTAGCGCGCCAATCTTTTCAACGTTTTCTCTAGCTTCAAGTTAATATTGTTGCGGAATCTATTCTACCTAGCTTCACAGCCATCGCTACAGTCAGGAAACATTTCTAAGTCTTTATATTCTGTCCTGTATTTCTCATATCGCTCGGCTCTTCTTCACATGTATTTTTATTTATTTTTCTAGTCGAACCTCGCTCGCTCTATCTTTCAATTCTCAACGGGTTCCTCGAGTCTCTTCAACAGAGCGTGAGTTTGAAATCTCTAGACGTAGCGCCAACAAGAACTGTAAGCTACACCCTCCTCGCCTTTTGTCTTTTTGTTTTCCCGCAGTACCCCAGCTGACCGAACCGGCCCGGGAAGAGGCTAATCTGAACGAGATGAATTATGAATCGGGCCTTTTTGTGGTACCCGGTCAATCTTTCAAAATGTGGTAGTATGGAAGAAGTGAAACCGGAAAGAGAGTCATGAAAAATATATGTTGGCCTATTTTGAAACCGTTGCCGGATATTTCAGTGTGAGATTTCTTGGCAATTTGAATGTTGTTTGATGGGATGCAAATTTTTATACAGGGAGGCTCCGCACAGAGGTCCAAACCCGTACCCTTTTGTATACCATTTTAACAGAAAAAATACCCCTTTCGTATAACCTTTTTTTTTAAGAAAAGTACCCCTTTAGCTGACCTACTTAAGAGCAGCTTCGCCTAAATATCAACTAGACCTGGGAAAATCGACACAGTGGAATTTCTTTAAACTCGCCCAGAATGAGGCCCTATAGGCACTAGTTACAAAAATATTGTTTTAACTTCGATAAATCAATTATTACTTCACTTACGCAACTTTTCTTTGTGTGTTGCAGTGGAGTCAACTGCCCGCCTAACCATTCGGGTGGTGTCGCGCTTATAAAGAGAAAGAACAAAGGCTTGCCCGAGAGCCAATGAGAAAGCACTGACGTCATGGTCAAACCGGCCAAACGAGTTTCTGGGATCAGTTGAATTTCATCTTACAAAATGGTGGAAACGAGCATCCTGTTAGAGTAACCAGTTTAACTTTTTCAACATATTCAAACTGATGCCCAAGACATTTTCCAAATTATTAAAGTACTCTGAATCTGATTGAGACCTACTCAATTTGAAATCGTTCGGAGAATTTAAAAGTTACTCCAGCAATATATTCGAATACTGCTCGTTAAAATACCGTTAGCAATTGAGTCAATTGAAAATTTACTCAATTTGAAATCGCTCTGAGAGAAGTTACTGTGGTGACACTCGAATACTGCTCTTAAAATACTCTGAATAATTGAGAGCTACTCAAATTGTGCTCGTTCAGATTTACGAAGTAACCAAGAATTACTCATTGTATTCAAATTGTATCATATTTCATATTTGCTTAGTCGAATTCCATGAAGGTCGACAAAGATCGATTTAATTTCTGGGCTAACATTTGCTATTGTGACGGTTGGTACGAACAACCTGTTTGATTAATCTTTTCTGGACTAAGCTGCCATGACATAGTCCCAAATCAGAGCCCAAATGAAGCAATAAAATTCATGCATGCCGCTAATTTCGTTAAAACAACAAATGCCTTAAAAATAACTATTCCGACGTAACATAAAACGTTTAGGGAGAAAGGAACAAAAATAGGCTCAGTAAATTTTATCTTACTGACCTCAACTGACGCCAAATTACCACAGTGAACCACAGTGAACTGGAGTAAATCGTTCATAGTAGTAAAACCAAGTAAACATGAAAAACTTTAAGCTTGCTGACAATTACGAGAGGCAGCTACCGTAGAATTCCG